AAAAGCCAAAACTATGTCAATTATCTGAATTTTAATAATAATTACAATTGCTTACTGATTTTATCAGAAAAAATTAGTTAATAACTAATTATACTTATTCCTTTTATCCTCCTTGTTCTCGCCTTGTTATAAGAAATCTTAATAACAAAAATGACTAACGAACAAGACAAAGACCGTAAATTTCGAGAAAACGCTAAAAAACTCTATGAGGCCACTGCCTCCATCGTTAATAAAGCCGGCAATAAAGCCTGAGAAGGCACCAAAGAATTTCTCAACCATCCAATCGATACCACTGAAAAAATTTACCAGGGTTTAAAAAGTGCTGGTAAAACTGCCCTCAATTTTGGCGTTGACACCGCCACTAATCTAATGACTGAACCAAAAAAGGCTCTCCATACGGGCTTAGGATTAATGGAAAGAGGTTTAAATGCTATTCCGTTAGTGGGAGGATTTTTTTCTTTTTTAACCGGAACCGCTAAAGATGCTTTAACCGACCAAAAATTTGAGGAAATTGCTAATCAAATTCAAGGAGTTAAGGAAGGATTAAATTCTTTGGCTGATGCGGTGGGGGAAGCCATTGATGGTTTACGAGGTGAAATGCAAGAAGCCTTAGAAGCCATGGGAGCCCGCCAAGACCAATTAGAGCAATTTACCAAAGCCTTTAAAGAGGAGCAAGACAAAGTAAATCAAAAGGTTCAACAACAAATCCAGCAAATTCAAGAAACCTTAAAAGAACATGAAAAGAAAATTAAAGACAATGCGGAAAAAATCTTTAAAGAACAAATTAAATTAGAAGATGTTCGTAGTGAAATCAAAGACCAAATCCGGGTCACCAACACCAATTTAGATAACTTACGCAAAGAACAAGCCGAAAATAAGCAGGATTTCGAAAAATACAAACACCAAATTAACGAAAAAACGGCGAAAACTGAGCAAGCCTTTGAAGACTTACAAGCCGATTACACTCGCCACAATAAAATCTTAGAAACTCAAATTAAAGATAATGAGGAACAATTAAGCGAATTCCAAGAAAATTTAGCCAATGTTGAATCCGAACAAAAGAAACTTAATTTAGAACACCAAGAATTGGCCGAAACCCTCGAAGAGCAAGTCAATTTAGCCTACCAACAGAAACAAAGATTAGATTTTGTGGTGAATGAAATAGAAGAGATTGAAGAGCAGTTTAACCAACGAATCAGTAAAATCCAGCGGGAACAATTAGAACAGGAAGAAAAAGTAGAAGAAGCCGTCTTTGCTGCGAAACAAGCCACTCGTAAAGTAGATGAAATAGCCGAGAAGTTAGAAAAACATAATCAAAAAATTGATAAATTATCCGAGCAGATTGACCATAATAAAAAGTTAACCGAAGAAGCCAAAAAGGAAGCTCAATGAGCTAATGAAAGAATTGACCAACTCTTAAAAACCCAAAAACTACTAGATAACAGCGATGTCGAAGCCAACTTAACTAAAATTCAAAAAACCTTAGAACTCAAAGCCGAAGAAGCCCAATTATTAGCCAGTTTAGAATTGTTAAAGAAAACTCAGAAATTAATTGCCCAACCAGCCGAACGAGAATGAAAAGTAGGGATTAAGGAAGGAACCGAAAAAGAAATACCCCGTAGGGAAGGAATGCCTTTAAATCCCAACTCCTCCTGAGCCAAACAATATACTCCGGAACAATTACAAGCCTGAGGCTGAGACACTCGCTTATTAGGTGAGCATGAAACCGCTCCCTTAACTGACCCCGAGAAAAGAAAACCAGAAGAAGCCGCCCCTAGCCAGCAGAAACAGCAACAGCAGGAACAAACTGAACAATCAGCCGAACCACCAAAATCTCTCCAAGAAGTAATTGAAAACACCAAAAGTCAATTATTAGAACAACTCCAAGAAGTTCAGGAGCAAGTCCACCAAAATATTACTCCCTTAGAAAAAACTACTGCTCCCCAAGAAGATAGTGAGAGTGAAAGCGAAGAGGAAGAAATTAAGGAGTTAGAGCAAAAAGAAAAGCAATTAATCAGTGAAAAAACCCAAGCCCAAACTAAACTTATCCAAGCCCGTAATCAACAGCAAGCCACCCAACAGCAAAAAGCCCAAATTCAAGCCGAAATAATTAAGGAACAGAAACAAATCCAAAAAATAGAGCAAAGTCTAGGTCAAAAATCTACTACTCCTCAGCAAAAAGAAAAACTGCAAGCCAATCAAGCAAAACGGGAAGAAAAATTAACCCAATTACAAAAGCAATTAGAACAAGCCGAGCAACAGGAAAAGAAACAAGCAAAGCAAATCGAAGAAATTAACCAAGAAATTCAAGCCAAAGAAACCGAAATTAAGGAAATTCAACCACCCAGTCCTTCTTCTATCCTCGCCAAAAAGTTAAACCAGGAAATTAAGGAGGCAGAACAACAAGCCAATCAAGCCCAGCATGATTATTTGGAACAGCAATGACAAGAAGTCAAAAAAACTGAAGAACAAATTTTAGAAGACAACCCAGAAACTCCCACTTTAAAAAAGATTGAAGAGAAAATCCAAGAAATTAAAGAATCGCAATCTTCTACGGCCGCTCCCCAAAAATCAATGAGCCTTTACATGCTTTATCTAATTATTTTCTTATTAGAGTATATTGTTTATAAGAAAAATGGCTTAACTGGTTTAATTGTCTTAAATATCATTCTCCTAATGTGCTACTGATATAAAGACTGGATTATGGAACATTACCAAAAGAATTACAAACAATTCGGCAAATATCTCCTAATCATTGGCTATGTAATGGGCAATGTCTTGGCTTACTCGGCTCCTGAACAGGAAAAATATAAATGACCTTCTGTAATTGGTTTTAACGCTATCTTGGCTGCCCTTTATGGCTATACTTACTACCAAAATAAAAAGGTGATTGAAACCAAAAAAGAGGAATTAGTCCAAGCCCAAGAGGAATTTGCCGAAGAAACTGTCCAAAAGGAAACTGAATACATCGAAAGACTACAAGAAGCCGAACAAACCTTAGAAAAAGTTAAAGAGAGAACTAAAAACTTAAAAACAGTAAACTTCTCGGTTTTAAGTCAAGGGGTCGGCACGGCTGGCAATATTTTCTTTACCAATCAAGAAGAAGTAGAACAGGCCCGGAAACTTTACCAAGCCATCAAACAAAAATGAGGTAAAAAAGAAAGTGAGGATTATTTAACTTCACCAGTCGCTCAAGAATTTCTCCGTTTGACACAAGCAAGTGGTATCCCTTTAAATCCCGAAGAACAAGCCTTAGTGGAGAAAATCCAAACCAAACAAAACGAGCAAGTTTATCAGGAAATTTCCCAAACCCTGGCTAAAATACCGGCTTATCCACCTGAAATTAAAAAAATTTTAAGCAAATTACTAACTAATTTAAAGGAAGAACAAATTCTGGCTTTGGCTGCCCAATCTCTTTATTTACGAAATAACCCAGAATTAGAAAAAATTTATTCTTTTCTAACCAACGAGCAAAAATTAACCATGCTAAACTCAGGCTTAGATAATCTGCAAATAAACACTACGGAAAAAAAGAAAGAATTATTAAATATTCGCATGGCTTGTCGGGAAGAAGAAAGAGCCTTTGACCTATCCATCAAGGAAAAAGAAAATATTTTACGACTGATTACTAATAAAATAAGTGGAGAACAATTAAAAACTTATGAAGAATACGGAGTTCCTATTTATAATGCGGCTAGTTGACAAATCACCCCCGAACATAAAAAATCCCTGCTAAAGTTAGCCGAAGACTTAATTACTATTGACCAGCCAGCAGAGTTAATTAATAGTGGTCGAGATAATTTAGAGAAATTTCCCCTTTCCTCCCACCAAGAACAAATTATTAAAACTTTGGCTCCTTTGCAAAGAGAATATAATTATTCGGAGGAATTATTAAGTAAACTTCGAACTTTACCCAGTCGACAGTTCCTGACCCAGCAAGAAATTATTCCTTTGGAGTATCAAAAAACAAAAGACCCTTATAAGGAACTAAAAAAAGCAGTTTTAGGGAAAAAATATAAATTAGTTCGGGAAGAATTTAGGCACCAAGCAAAAGAAGAAATTATAAAACAAAAACAAGCCATTCGCAGTTCTTTTTTACCTGCTTTACTCTTTTTCGCCCAATTGAATCCAACTGATTTAGCCAATCAAGAATACCGTTTATCCAAAGAAGTCTTTGGCGAAGAAAAGGATTGAGTTTCGGTGGGAGCCATCGACAGCCAACACCGGGATTTATTGTTTTTGCTCGGGTTTAAATTAACTCCTCGCTATTACTTTTTTGACTTATTATTTTTTGTGGTGGAGAATATTAATCAAAGGGGAAACCCCCAAACTGTTCCTGTTAACTGAGAAGAGTGAGAAGGCATTCACCACAAATTCACCCGAGAATTAGTTCAACAGTGAATTAGTTGTGGCTTTTCTTATGAGCAAACTAAGGAATGAATATCTATTGGCTTAGCACCTAGTGAAATTGATCTTGCTTACTGACTAAAAAATATTGAAAAACTAACTCCTGAACAACTTCGAAATTATGAGAAGGAAGAGTTAAAAAAGAAGTATGACCAGTTTAAAACTAATCGATATCGAAGTATCGAAGAATATCAAACCCGAATACTGATTATTTTGGATGCTTGAAAAGATGACAGCAAAGGAGTCAAAAAGGAAGCCATTCGCGAAGTAATTAAAACTCTATCTGATGAAAGTTTAACCAGTGAGGAGCAGTTTGAGGAATTACAAAACTTTTTAAACATATTTCCTAGTAATAATGTTAAGTTGAATAATTTGGTTAGTGCCTGAAATAAGTTGCTGAATAAAGGAATTATCATAAAAGAATACAGTTCGGCAACTTCGGCTACTTTTACTGACTTTTTAGCCGAACATTCTTTTTTAAAACCGGAATGAGAAAAATATTTACAATTAGTTGCGGAAAAAGAGTTAAAAGAATGAAAAAGAAAACAGGAATATTTATCTTCTCTAAACACGGGCAAAGGCTCAGGAACTACTTCTATGGCTCCTAACCTTACTTCCTTAGAGGAAAAATACGAAAGATTGGCCGATGCTTATGAAAGTATGAGGAATTTATTAGAAAAAGCGGGAGGATTATCTAATTTTCCAGAAAATAATTCCCAACCGGAACAGCCAGCCCCCACTACTTCTGATTCTAAGTGAGATAACTTATTGGCTAATTTAAGTGCTGAGGAAGCCGAAAGACTGAAAAAGAAAAAAGCCCGTGAAGAAGCCAAGAAGAAATTGGAGGAGGCTGAATTGGCTCGAAGACAGGCTAATCTTAGTGAAAAAGATAAGAAATTAGCCGAAGAAGCAGAAAAAAGACAAAAAGAAAAAGAGTTGGCTGAGCAAGAGGCCGAAGCTGCTCGTAAAAGGCAGGAAGAACGGGATAAGAATATTGCGGAGGATAGACAAGCCTTTTTAGATAATCAAGCCGAGCAAATTAGAAAAAACAAGGAACGAGCCGAAAAAGAACTACAATTCCAAGAACAACAGATGCAAAAGGAAAAAGAAAGAAAAGAAAGGGAAATCCAGGAAATGAAAGCCAAAAATGAGCAAGAAGAAAAAAGAATAGCCCAAGAAAAGGAGTTAATAGAAAAAGAATTAGCCGAAGAATTAGCCAAGATTAATACGGCCGATAAAGAAGGAAGACAAAAAATTGAAGAAAAATTTCGTAAAAGAAAACTAAAAATCGAAGAAGAAATGAACGAACAAAAAAGGAAAAATGATGATGAATTAAAAGAAATGGAGGCTGATATGTTAAAAGAAAAACAAGCAAAAGAGGCTCAGTTGGATAAAATTAAAAAAGAAATTGCTCTCCAAGAAAGTTTGGGTCGGGAAAATAAGCGAAAGGGTCAAGAATTAGAGCAAGCATTAAAAGGACAAAAAGATAAAGAAAAAAGTTTAAAAAATCTACGGAATAATATGTATGCATCGGTAATGAATTATTACTGAAATAATGAAGAAAGAAATAAAGGAACTAGATGTAGCGATGGCCGTCCCATTCCTAATCATGGCACTGGTTATTTAAGAGATTGGCTTAATCAATACCCTAACTTAAAATTTAACCTTAACTTTGGTGATATTTACGAGGGTAATTGAAGCAGTTACGAAATGGCTATGAAAACTTTTTATAGAGTAGTAGGAAATAGATTTGTGACGGCTGAAGAGTTAAAGAATGCGATTGAGAGAGAAGTGCAAGACTTAAATTATTTAGATAGATAATTTTTCTTGCTCGGTTAATTTAGGCTCTTTTCAAGAAAGGGGAAGCACTATATAACGAAGTATTAAACTGTATACTATTCAAAAGAGAATAAACCCTCAAAAAATAATCATGGCTGCATTACTGTAAACTTCATTAGCATAGGTAATATAGTCCACTTCTTTTTTCTTACTTTCATCAACTCCTTGGGAGGCTAATCATTCGGCTAATTTGCCTCCTAATTCACCAAATCAATCCTCCCCTTGTTTTTTAGCCTTTCTTTTGGCAATTTCTTCATAAGTGAAGTAAGGAGAGGGTTCGTGGCCGAATTTCTTGTGGGTTCAATTTTCTTCCATTTTTTTATCTTTATAGAAAGTTAAGTAATCAGAAGGGATTTGTTCCCGTTCCTCTTTGGTTTCAATTTTGGTAATGAAACCATACTTTAAAGTTTTTCAGGCATTTCCTAAGCCACATTTACTTAGTAAGCAAATGGTTAGGTAGGCTAATAATAAGCCAGAAACTCAGGAAATTATTTTAATTCAGAGTTTTCTTTTCTTTTTGGCTGATTTTCAGTTTTCGTAAGTTTGGAGTGTTTGGAGGTTGGTCATAGTTATTTATTTTTTTGCTTCTTCTGTATCTATTTTTTTATTATTGTTAACTGTATTCATATATTTTTATTCTTAATTTTTAACCTGTATTAGCAGGCAAAAAAGCAAACTCATTTAAAATAATATTTCATTGAGCATTAAGTGATTGGTTACCAGTCTTTTGTCCGGTAAATTTCTGATGATTAGTAATTCCTAACTGTTGCCCTAATTCATCATGAATGGCTTCCGCATAAATATTTCCTTGAAAAAACTTACTTAATAAAGTTTCAGTTAGAGTATTGAGTTCGCTAACCGAAGAAAGCGAGGAAAATTGAGAAGTTAAGGAAGATAAAAGCGGATTTATCTCTTCTTTTAATCTTCTTGCTAATTCTTGATAATTTGCTTGGGTAGCAAAAGTAGGTTTAAATTTTCTCTCTTCCATTAAAGGTTTGAGAATAGTTTCGCAATAGTTTTGGAAGTCTAAGCCTTTTCAATCAATGACATTATTTTCTTGGCGCGGAATAATTGAGGTTATAAAAAGCAATGATTTGTAAGTAAGGTTTCTTTCTACTTCTTGATTGAATTTATCCACTTCGGGAACTTCTTTAAATGGAGGAAATCCCGTCTTATTATTTACTAACTTTATCTTTTCATCTAATTCACTTAAAGAATTAATTTCTCACCACTTAATATGAGGGACATAAGCAGTTAAGAATTCAATAGTGGCTTGCTGTTCATCTAAGTTTTTAGAAGTTTTTATTTGATTAATTTTGGTTTGGGCTTCTTCTTCAGAAGGGAGGTATTGAATGTTAGGATTATCTGGATTTTGGTTAGGCTGATCATTAGAAGTATTGCTATCACTAGATCTAGAGAAGAAATAAATTGCGGTTCCTATTCCACCGAGAGTAAATATTCCAGCAATTATTCAGATTCAGTATTTAGGTTTTTTGTCTCTCTCTCTCTCTCTCTGCTGTAATTGTTATCCATATCTTTCATATTTATTTTGTTATCTCTTGAGAAATTAAGGAAGTAAATGTTTTTTTTTTTTTGTTAAATTGTTCATAGGGCATTATTTAGGTGGGATTTGGATTTGGGCTATTGTTTCTTCCTGCTCGGTTTCGGTGTCTTCTAAACTAAGTTCCGATAAACCAATTGATAAGGAATTAACTTCTAATGGTGAAGAAATATCTATAAGTTGGCTGTAAAATTGGTCGTTAATTTTTTTACTATTCTGAGGTTCAGGTAAATTCTTAAAATCTAATAAGCGGCTAGTATAAATGGCCTGGGGATGAGCTTGATAGGAAAAAAGTATTAGGTTATTTTTGTTAAATCTTTCTGCTTCTTCGTATTGCCTGCCAAATTCTGAATTTTCATCTAAAATTTCATAACTCCAATTGCCCAAAATCCCTTTTAGTTCACTAGCAGTAGGACGAACCGCAGGATCCGCATCCCAACATTTACTAATTAAATCTTCGAGCAATGATGGAACTTTAATTTTAAACTGGGGGCGAAGTCCTTCGCATATCTTTAGACCCAGAAATTTGTCATGAGCAAGTTTATGATAAGGAGGGTGACCCGAAAGTATTTCGTAAGCGACTATCCCAAAAGAGTAAATATCCGCTGCCTGGGTATAAGGATGACCAGTTAAAACTTCTGGAGCAACATAAGGAAGAACTCCATAAACATTTCCTTCCTTTTCTTCTTTATTGGCTGGTTTACTTAATCCTAAATCGGTAATATAACTCCGATATTTGTTTTGGTTTAATATATTACCTGAATGAAAATCTCGGTGAACTAATCCTTGTTTATGAATAGAATTTAAACCATTCATAATATCACATAATTGATCGAGTTTATCATAAAAATTTAATTTTCTATAATTATCTTTCAAATATTGTCTTAGATTCCCACCTTTTATGTACTGCATTACCATAAGATAGTCTTTAGTTTGGGGATTTTGAGAAATACCATAGCACTTTACGACTTGATCACTACTACATAATATGTGATTAGTGATTTCGTGTAAAAAAACGGCAGTTATATTTTGGGAATTGTTCAAACTTTTCAAAACAACTTCATTATCTGCCATTGGTTTCCCCTTTCATTTGGCTTTATAGACTTTTCCAAACCCTCCTTCGGCCAGATATTCAATATCATTAAATTGCTTATAAGGCATTCATTCTAATGTTTGCGAATAAGTAGTTGAATTTAATTGGTGTTTTTGGATAAATTTATCAATTTTTCAATTACCACTAATCTGTTTATTACCACTTGTAATACTTCCGGAGCGACATAGGTCATTACTCCGTAAATTTTCTCGTACTAAAAACTGCATAAAAGTGTCTCGGTAATAAAACTGACGGAAATTGCAAGGTTGACACTGTTTATACTGCTTATTATGACCATATTCAAGAAGTTTGTTACAATTCTTACATAGTCCATATTCCTTATATCTTTCCTTTAATTCTTCAGGTATTATTTCGTTACATTTTTTCTCTTGCTTTTGTTTTCGAAGAGCTTTTTTTTCTTCGTTTGATAACCTATCATAGTCTTTGTTTTTTTTGATTTTTTTTTCTATTTTTCGCTTTTGCTCTTGTAAAGTTTTTTTAACTTCTTCGACTTGTTCTTTCTGTTCTCCCGACAAAGTAGCAATTTTTTTATCTTGCTCGGCTATTTCTTTATCAAAATTTTCTCCTTGTTTTTTTAAATTATCCCTCTCTTCTTTTAGTCATTGCTCACTAAAATAAGTGGTATTCTCGACTTTTTTTATTTGTTTAATTACCTCTGAACTAAGTTGAGAGTCCATAAATTTTTTATGTTCTTCTCTTAATTCCTTCTCGTTGCCATAATTCAAAACCCATTCAGCATCTTCATATCTAACGTATTCTAATCACCATGCATAATCAGCATCACTGACTTTGCAGCCAGCATCTATTCATTCTTTACACTCTTCATAACTAAACCCTCTTTCTTCTCACTCTTTCTGCAACTCCTCCGTAAACTCACTACTAATATTCTTCCAGTCTTTTTTAAAAAAATTTACTATACTTTTCATATTCTTTCAAATTATCCCGATTCCTCAGGAAAAGTAAAAGCAATTAAACTAAAAAAAGCCAAAGGAATCCCCCTACTACTAACTAAAAAAAAATTAGTTGCTAAGAGATTAGAGACCACTTTTTGCTCTCTCTTATAGGAGTGTTTAGAGAATTGTTTCATGTCATATATATATATTATTTTAAACTTCTCATATAAGCACCCATATCAGAAAGTTAAAATTATAATATAGATAAAAAGTGAAAAGTGATTAGGTGAGCAATTGCCTAATTATCGGGGTTTAAAGAAAAAAACTTCTGTTAATTTTTATATTAGTCTTTAACTTCCCAAGGACAATTTAGGCATGATGAAAACACTAGCCTATTTTTTAGGCGGAATTTCTACTTGACTTATCTGGTGGGTTTGTTGGTATTCACTCCTTAATTGCTCATAATTATTCTCATTTAAGGTTTGTTCCGGAGTTAATTTCTTATTTTCTTTTAATCAAAGCACAAATTCGCAGTCTTGGGCTGGATTAAGGGTCGGAATAACCTGCGACCATTCTTTCACTTCCGCTCAAGTAAAATATTGAGCTCAAAGGTCTTTGAAGAGCGAATTATTAAACTCCGGATGAAGCGAACTCCAATCCTCAATACTTTCTTCCAAGTCGAGATTAGCAAAGTCATAGGGCAGAGATGGCGAGTATAATTCATAAAATTTCTCATTAATTTCCCGACTATTTTGAGGTGGGGGGAGATTATCAGTATCCAAAAGTCTGCTAGTATAAGTTTGGGAATCAATTTGATAAGGTATACTATTAGGAATAGAAGTTAGAGTTTTGTTAAGTTCTTCGGTTTCCAGGTATTGCTGGTAAAATTCAGTAGCCTTTTTGCCCTTAATTTCATTTTGTCAAACATTTAAAATCTTAAATAATTTGCTAGTGGTTGGCCGTTGTGAAAGATCAGCATCTCAGCATTGTTCAATCAAATTCTCTAATAATTTTGGTATTCTGACCTTAGCAAAGTTAGGACGGAGTCCTTGACATATTTTGTAAGCTAACTGGTGGTCATAAGTAAGTTCGTGGTAGGGAGGACGACCCGAAAATAACTCGTAAGCCACTATTCCTCACGAATAAATATCCGCCGCTTGGGTGTAAAGTTTGCCTTGGAGTACTTCGGGTGCCACATAAGGCAAGACCCCGTAAATTTTTTCTTCTTGGTTGGTTTCATTGACTGGGCGGCATAAGCCTAAATCAGTAATCAAACAGACGTCACTATTGGAAATTAAGATATTACCCGGATGAAAATCCCGGTGAATTAAACCTTGCCGATGAATGTTATTCAACCCCTTAGCCAAATGACATAATTGACCAAGTTTATTGTGAAAATCCAATTTATGGTAATATTTAGTTAAATATTTTCGTAAATCACCATTTTTTATATAGTCCATTACCATAATATAATCCTTAGTAGCAGGGTCTTGGGAAATTCCAAAACATTTGACTACTCCGTCATAATCATCTTTGAAGAGTTTATAATAAGCCACCTCCCGCAAAAAATCTGCGGTTATGTCCTGGGAGTCATTTAAACTTTTTAAAATAACTCCATCTGGATAAAACTTATCCCTTTCTCAATTATTATCTTTGAGATTTCAATGACTAATTTGTCGGTCAACTCATTCGGCTACTTTATAAACTTTACCAAAACCACCAGAGGCTAAAAATACAATATCCCGAAATTTTTCATAAGGAATTCATTCTAATACCCCATATTTATTAATGGCGGTTAGTTGATATTTTTGGATAAATTCATCTACGGCTGGATTACCACCACTTCAATTCTTAAATTCCTGAGCAAAATGGCGGGCACTACATGCTTTACACCACCGATATCAAGTGTTAGTTTGATTACATTCTTGGCATAGTCCAAAAGCTTTATATCGCTCTTTTAGTTCGATTTTATTTAACACCTCTATGCTTTCTGGTTTGTAGATTTGGTTGCATTTGGCTAAATGGTTTAGTGATTTTTCTCTCGATAATTCACGAGTTTCTTTATTAAGAATAATCTTCATCTCGGTTCTTTTTCCTCCTCCACTGATATTTATTGGTGGATTGTCGGTATGAATTATTCTTTTATCACATGATTCAATCATTTCGGTAATTGCTTTATTATTTTCCGCCAGTAATGATTGAATATCTTCTTTACACTTCTCTTCATCTTCAAAACTATCAAATTTAGTGCGAACAATAGTGGTATACTTAGTAATGTTTTCATCAAAAAGTATTTCTTTTAAAGTATTATAAGTTTCCACCTCCTCGGGAGTAAATCTACCACTGCTTAAAAATAAAACTTGACTTAACCCATCTTTAACTTTATCATATACTTTGGCTATCTCTTGGAGGGTTTCAATTTTTGACAATTTTGTATCGCCTAGACCTGGCGTGTCGATTATTCGATACTTTATTCCGTTTATTTCAAACAATTTATCACTTATTTTTCTGGTTTCG